CTGATCTGCACCCCTTCCATATGTGGCTTGTGCAGGTGCAGCGAGATCCACTTAAACTGAAACATCAAGGGCCTTTCGGTACTGTCACGGCGATGCAGTGAGGGGGATCACCATTGGCACTGGTACTGGCACTGGCACTGGCACTGGCATTTGAGAACTGCCCACTGACATTTGTGTTCGGGGCTCTGGTAGGGCATCGTTCGTCCGTCCCGGAAGCCCCGACCAACATTCAGCAGCCACTGGCTGCGGCATGAAGGCAGATGCCCAGGGTCGCTGTAAATTCTCCGCACCCCCACTGATCCTGAGTTCAAGCTCATCACCCTTTTCAGGGGCTGCGCGATCTCGACTCTGGTGTCATTCCTCCCACCGTGACCGATGGCACAGCACCTCATTCGGCAGCTTTGATGGAGGATGAGACGCATTTCCTTCCGCCAAACGACCATAACACCTTGAAGCCACACACCAACCACACGCCGTCTGACTGTGTCCTTGCGATGCACTGCCAGCTGGTGGTCCTCCCTCGCCCTGTAGTAGCTTCAGCCAAGTTCCTCATATCCCTGTCTTCGTTTCCCTTTGATTACCCGTGTCTGTACACACGTAATACGGGCATGCCAGGAGCCTGGAGCCGTGTCCATCCTGTATGCACCTTATTCACCTAAGGTAGGCTGACCCAGAGATTGAAGGGGCGCTTTGCACACCGCCCTCGCGACACAAGAAACCGAGGGCAGATGGGCAGATGGGCAGAGACAAGAGAAGCAAGTCGTCAAAGCCAAGCAACGAGGGAGTAGCTGCCTACCGTGCGGAGGAGATGGACCCTGATTACCCTTGGGTGGTCTGAGTCGGCAGAGTGACCAGTCAAGACGACATGCCGTCCCTCCTTTAACCAAACATAGTGATTGCTCTGAATCCCCCTCCCCCCCTGGTGGTACCTGGTGCCTTGTGCCCTGAATTGTCTTGGTGACGTCCAAACCTTGTGCCGCATGAGACCCTTGTCCCTGGGACTGGTGCAAGTAATGAAAAGGGTGTCCTGTTCCCGAAGGTCGTTCAGTCAGAGGGCGATTCTACAATTGTGATCGAATTCCAGCCGCCGCAGGTTCCCTTCCGGTCGGCGATGCAGTCTGACAGAAACCCATTCGCCGGTAAAATGGGGAGATGATGTAGCATCGCGTGGAAGGAGGGTTTGAAATGAGCAAGATTGATCTCTGTGATGGTATGTCAAGCCAGATTGATGGACGTCGCCACTGGGTTGATTCAAGCATGTTGCCTCGGCCTTCGGTAGGAACACATCTCGCATCGTCCCCTCACTCAATTTAACTCGGATGGAACCTTTCTTTCTTGAAGGGCAGAGATCGTCACCCTCATACTGTGCCACTGTGGATCAATTATCCCAGTTGTGAATCTCGTGCTGGTGCTGCTGGTGTCCTGGCTTGCCTAAGGTACCTACCTACTTCAGCAGCCCTGGTCACCGTTGTCTGCCGCTGCCAGCGCGCAGTCAACCAGGCTCCACAGTCAGTCCTCAAGGAACGAAGCCCTTCGCACTTGCTTGCCCTGAGCTCCTTCTCTCTCGCCCCCTTCTGTGGAAGGCAGTTGTCATCGTCGTGGCTTGGGTGCGGACCCTACCCTTCTGCCTTTGCCTGTCCCCCCTTTCCCTCCCATCACCAACATCTTGGTCCACACGGCATCCCTCACCTTGCCTTGACTGGTTTCCTTCGCCGTCTACCTGCTAAGCTAAGGTGCCTACCTGTAGGCTAGTATCAGCCTGGAGCTCTCACCAAAGGAAACCAAGGACTACCATATACGCCAAAAGGCCCGCGCCCCCCCCTGGCCTTGGCCCGACAGAGCTAGCCCGCCTAGTGCTAGCACTGTATCGGTCAAGCAGCCTGCCTATAGTTTCAACCATCTGTACTTTGTGCATTTGGAGCGCTTCATCTCAAACCGCCCCAAAAACCCCACTGCCACCTTGTCGACAGGACTCGAGCCACCAAGCAGCCAGTGTTGAAGGCAACCAGCCGCCTCTTTCCACTCCACCGTCGCTTGGATTGATCGACTTCCCTCCGCTCTCACCCCCTTCGCGTGTTTCCTCTTCGCCTCCAGTCACAAACTCTAGCTCCAGCGTCTCGGGTCACCCAGGCCCAGCGTGCGACAGGACCCATCTGTTTCCCGCACCATCCAATCCATCCCGCTCTAAGCCACCGTCCATTCGCTCATCCACGCACCTTCACTTTACCTTGGATGTTAGGGTGCCCCTCTGCCCTGCCGCCTCTGCTTCAGCTGCGCCAACCGTCGCTCCTGCCCTCACCTTGCGTCTTGTCTCTCTGACACTGGGCACCGCACCGCAACGGGCCTCTCATCCCCATCCCCCTCTCCTCAAGGCTCACCGACAGCCCGTTTCCACGCTACCAAGCCTTCCAAGAAGCCAGACCATCCAAGCACCGACCGAGCCGACGCACGATCCCGCCGTCCAGTCGCCGCCGCCACCCACCCCCCCCCGACCTCCTGGCTTGAGCCTCGAACAGCGAACAACGAACGAGCCGCACGTCCGCTGTCGACGACTGCCTTTCATGCTCTCCGCCTCCCACTAGTCCAATTCGCCTACTCTTCGTCCTTCGCTCGTCAGCCTCACCGTCCATGACGCTTGCCCCTCTGCGTCCTTGTGTCTGACATACGCTGGTGGAACGAAATTCGGTTCCTTCGCCTTTCGCCTTCACCGGCGAGACCAACAACTTTTAGCATACGACATGGCCGCCGTCATGGACGACTATCTCGACAGTCCCATGGACAACGAGGACGTCTTTCCTTGCAAAGGCTGTGGAGATGTACGTCTTTCCCACTGCCCTCGTATCCTGTGGCCCCCCTCTGTTGTCCCAAGCCACTGACCGTGCTGTGCTCGGCCGATCTAGATCCTTGAGGAAGGCAAAGCGTTCGAACTTGGTATGTCCTCGCATCCCTCTTCCCTGCTTCCCATTGCCCTTCCACATGGCGCTACATAGCACATGCTGGCTCCCTTTTTCAACCTCTCCTGTCCGCCCTCACCTATGGCCATGTCGTCGCTTGCGCCATGTCGTCCATCATCTCCAAGTTTCACCCCGCTAACACTGATGCCTCTCCCTCAGCTGGCAACCGATGGCATCTCAACTGCTTCCGCTGTAACACCTGCGGAACTCTGCTCGATTCCGACGCGAACCTCCTCCTCCTCGGCGATGGCTCCCTCATCTGCAACAGCTGTACATATAGCTGCAATGCTTGCGGTAG